AAATTTACCGTGCGTGGAAGATGTTTCGTAAGTTTTTCTCGATCTTCATTAGATAAATTTAAGTCAGAACTGTAACAGAAATGAAATAAAGAATTAAAAAATCACTTATTTAAAAAAAATTATTTTGCTCAATTTTACAATGCAACAATTAAATGATCAAACATCGAAATAAAGCTTTGATCTTTACCTATTGTAGTCGATATTGTCAGGTATGGTCATCTGCTCGTTTCTTCTGATATCATTCACTTGGTTCTGCTGCTCCGCAACAGCGAAAGCATATTTTGTCTCTATCTGAAAGTTTAGTCATTGCCAGTGTTTTAATAATATTAGAAAATATGTATTTTACTTAAATGCGTTTGATTTAAATTTCTACAACTTTTATTTTATTTATACAAAAGCTTTTGAATTGCCTTGGCTTTTCCAACATGCGTTTGATTAATTTGCAAACCTCTATTCTTCTCGCCAAATTGGGATCTCCATCGAGATATCCTAATTGTGGCAACAGTTTTGCTAATTTTGCGAATGTCACTTTCTCATCTGTCGTGGACAGCATATCAAACGCTGACTTATGTCCAACGTCCTTAGAAATTTTTATTTTTAACAAGCGTCGCCATTTATTGGTTGTCCGCACATCGCTCTTGAGTATCTGTACAGCTTCCTGCATTTTACGAAAAACCTCTCTCGCTTTCTCGATCCTCTCATGAGAAACGCAGCCTATCATGTAACCTTTCTCTGTCAATCTCTGATCGGCGTTGTCGGGACGTAGACTCACTCGAAATTCTGATCTACTGGTAAACATTCTGTATGGTTCTGTGGTACCCTCTGTCGTCAGATCATCAATAAGGACACCAATGTAACCCTCGGTTCGACTTATCAAAAGTGGCAGTTTCTTAAATACCTGGATATACACAGAGATAACAACTTATAAATACGTCTATATAATTAGTTTACTAATTGGCAGCATCGCAAAATAATAAAACGTTAAAATTCTTTACAAATTGAAAAATCGTAAATCATTCTTTTGAAATAAATTATATAATTTATCTTTTTCGGGATAAGTTGAAAATTTACAATCAGTGAAATAAACAAGTGACTAAAAGCTGAAAGTGAATAAGCCCAATTGTTCATGAGAAATTTTAATTTATGTGATGATTTCAGTGAAAGGTCATAAGAAACTTTTCTTCATTGGAAAGCATTAATCTGAAACAATTTCTGTAATCACCTTAGCAGCTGCATTAACACCCGCGACGATACCTTGTGCAGCTGCTTCTTCGTAACCAGTAGTGCCATTTATTTGCCCAGCGAGGAACAGCCCTGGGACCTTTTTGGTTTCTAATTGGGTGGTCAATTCTCTGGGGTCTATGTAATCGTACTCGACACCATAACCAGGTTTGACTATTCAAATATAGATGCAATGAGAAAATCAGAAAAAATTTATAATGTACAATCATAATAGAAGAAAAAGCATTCTATTATAATTTCAATTTAAGGAGATTACCTAGACGAGCATTTTCCAATCCTGGGATACATTTAACAAGTTCCAACTGCTTCTCTTCCGGCAGAGTACACGATAATCCACTCGGATAAATCAACGGTGAGTCTAGACCTTCTGGCTCCAGCCAAATCTGATGTTTAAGTGTCTTAAATCGTAGAATCTTACTCTCTATGCTCGGACAATATCGCGGGCCCGATATTTCCTCCGTTACATGTAAATTACAATGCATATTATCTTTTATGATCTTTGCAACATCTTCGTTGGTATACGTCAGATACGTTAGTATTTGCTTGTCGGGAGGTAGCCATACGTTATTGCTCATAAACGAAAATGGTATAGGAGAGTCGTCTGGCGGATATGCTGTACATTTGGTAAAGTCGATGCTTTCTTTCTCCAACCTTGGTGGCGTGCCTAAAAATACATAGTAATTCTAAATAATAAGTCTATACATTTATATGGTAATATAATGTATATAATTGACATTACGATTAAAGTTTTTAATATAAAGGCAAACTATATTCTTTTTTTTTGTATTGTCAATGAAAACAAATAAAGGTAAATTATACAATATCAAATAAAAAATATATTCAATGAATGCATGGTTATTAGATCAATCAATTAGGAAAATTCCGTCCGTTTTTTACAAAAAATATGATCTTATTTAAGAAACAAAATGAAAAGGTACATCAATCAAAATATTGTCCATTGTTAGCGATGACTTTTTCCCATCTTACGGGCAGCAAACGAATTCTGCGGTGAAAGAATAACTCATCGTTGGAGGCTATCCAATCAGAGACCCATTTTTCGACGTCTTCATAAGAATTGAAGCGTTTCTCAGTAAGTGCGTGTGCCATCGAGCGAAACAAGTAATAGTCGGAAGAAGCACAGTCTGGTGAATAAGCCGTATATGACAGCACTTCCCTGCGAAACGCTCCTAACGTTTCCTTGACAAGTTTTGTCACATGAGACCGAGCGTTGTCGAAGCAAAATTATTTTATGCTGTCTCGTTTCATATTCGTTTTTCATGCAATGCTCGACTCAAACGGATAATTTGTTCTCGGTAGAAATCTTCTGTGACTGTTTGACCAGATTTCAAATGCTCATGGTACACTACACCCTTCTGATCCCACCAAATACAAAGCATTGCCTTCTTTCCATGGATATACCGTTTTAGCGTCTATGAGGATCGGTCGAGATCGCAAATGGTTTTTCTATGTTTGGAGTTATCAAAATAAATCCATTTTTCATCTCCAAAGTTAATATGATGCAAAAATCCCTTTCTTCGTTGCCTAGCAGGTAGAATTTCACAGGTGGTTTTTTGCCTTTCAATGTCTCTTGACTTCAGTTCATATGGGACTCATTTTCCTTCTTTGTAGACCTTTCTCAAGGCTTTCAAACGATCGGAAATAACAGATTGAGCACAATTTAATGCTTCTGTAAGTTGTTTTTGCGTTTGGCATGGGTCTTCATCCATCAATGTCTGCAATTCTTTGTCTTCAAATACTCTTGGCCGTCCAGAACGCTTTTTGTCCTCTACATCAAAATCACCACTTTTAAAGCATCAAAACCATTCTCTGCATGTTTTTTCGAAAGGAGCACTATCATCTTAAACTTTTACAAGCATTCGATTAGCTTCAGCTGCAGTTTTCTTCCATTTAAAGCAAAAGATTAACACTTTGCGCTTATTTGGCTCAAATTTCGACATTTTCGATGCAATAAGAAGCAAAATATTATTAATGCAAATGTATACTTTTATATACCAAATTTTATTAACAGATGGTAAAACTAAAAAATTAAGCTTGATTTAGACATTAGAGTTATTAACAGTTCTAGCTATAACTAGTCGCTGCTAGATGGACGGAACTTTCCGATTAACCTAATATTATGCGAATTAATTAAAGACATATATATAAAATATTGTTCTTACCAGTTTTAAGTCTTCCAATTCGAAATCCAAGTTTGTCGAGTGTATTTGCTAAACCAATACTAGGTTCATCATCCAATCTACCTGCAGGCCTTTTTTCCAACCCAATGTTTATTTGGCCTTTTAGAAAAGTTCCTGTGGTTATAACTACAGCGTCGCCAAATATCTTCGTTCCATCTCCTATGAAATAAAATAGATTAGTATGTAACATCTTATGTAAAAAAAAAATAAATTCACCAATCAGCCACTTTAATTATTTTTTATCAAATCTCAATTCTTTTCTTTATTTTAATATGAATTTTAAAACATACTGAGAATTACTCCTTGGCAAAACAGAGAATCGTTCTCCAAAATCAGATCTTCTACAGAGGATTCGTAAATATGCAATCTAGGCAGATTGAAAAGTTCTGCTTGAAGATGTTTCTTGTACAATTTTCTATCAATTTGAGCTCGAAGACCCCATACCGCTGGTCCCTTACTTTTGTTCAAGACTCTATAGTATATTCCCGAAATATCACATATCCGACAACATACTCCATCTAAAGCATCCACTTCTCTCATCAAATGGCCTTTTCCAATTCCACCAAAGGATGGATTACATGACATCTCTCCTATAATATTCAAATAAATTAGGTCGTATAATCTTATTTCGATCAAAATGCAATTTCACATATACAGCAATCCAGTAGAGTTTAACATTACTATCTTTAAAATGCATACACACCTATAGTATTCTTTTTTTGAGTAACCAACAGTGTCTTTGCACCCATTCTAACAGCAGCTGTACACGCTTCCGTTCCGGCATGACCACCGCCAACGACAATCACATCAAATTTGATTTCATCCACACATGTTAGTTTTCTCAGTAAACGTTTCTGTTCTATACGACTATCGCACCATCGAGTTAACAAAAATGATCTGATTTTTGTAAAAATCATTTTGTCTGGTCGTCACACCTTTCGTTTATATTTTACTTTCTGCAAAGATATTTGACCACATTCTTAAATATTAAAGAGAAAATATTATAAAATGATGAAATCAAATATAGACATATCATACCAATGGTTTATTATATTGTAGTTTTATGTTATTTGTTAATTATTGCTTATCTACATGCACAATATCTAGGTGCACATATTACCAATATATTTAATCACCTCTAACTCAGATCATCTATTCAATTTTAGCTCCGAATCCGAAACACAAAGCAATCAATGCAAAAAATTCATTAAGTATAAAGATTTCAAGGTTATAAAGTACTGATAAGCGTTGCTCAGATGTGTATCAAATTTAAAAGATTTTTGTATAAAAATCTTATTTTAACTTATCTTACATTATATCATGATTTTCTTACAGCAAACAAGGAATTCGTGCTGTAGTTAACAGAAAGACAGAGATATAGAATAGAGTACCCATCTGGGAAATTTTTTCGAAAAAGGAAGACATACAAATGCATACAAACATGAATGTTTTTATTGTCGAAGGAATACAAAGCCAATGTGAACCAATCACAAGTTGATCGTGTGATAAATGCTTTTACTGCACAAATTATAATATAAATAAAATAGAAGAAAATGCTGATCAAATATGATGATCTGATAAGAAATATTCTTTATCCTTCAAGGCTCTATATAACGAAATATATTGAATTGCATTACGCATTTTCAACAGTATCAATTGCTCGCACAGGTCTTCCTTACTTGCGAATCTTAAATCTGCGTATCCCAGATTATTAAAAAATTCTAAAACAAAGTTAAAGCAGTTCACATTGATGGAATTATAATTAACAGATTTCCACTTGATATCTTTCAACATAAGTAACAATGTTTTGTCCCATTGTGCAGTCCATGCCGCTGGCACTACCTCCAAGGCAATACAATTAGTCCACTTGATGATATCATTTACAATTAATCCTTGTTTGTCAAATTCTACAATGCTGCCACTAGAATCAACTATTCCAATGTGTAAATTGTCGCGTGTCACATTATAATCATCAAGAAAGCTGCCTTGTGAGGGCCGAATAACAACACTGGTTGGATTATGAGTGGCATTCACAAATGGATACGGAACACGAAACGGGTCTACAGCGAAGTTCTGTATTTGTGACGCGCATACTGGACACGTCGCTGGAATTTGCATGCAAAACACACTCTTGGCCTTGCAATGACGAAAACAGATGATGCCTGGATCATTGTTCATGTTTCCAAAGAACAAATTGAATTAAAGTTTAATTACTTCCAGATATTTATTCAACAAGATTCTTATTTAATTTTATTTTCTATTATTTAAAGAAATGTTCATTCCTATCAAGGAAGAAAAAGAGCTGTCGATCTGGAGAATGAGATGTATATATACAACAAAAACATTTGTCATATAAGGAACTTCGTTGATCATTTTATCCATTCCTTTCCTCACTACTTTACGACGCTCAGACTAGAAACGAGAAAGCAAAAGAACACAACAGGTATAAAGAAAAATACCTGCGATAACATAGATAATAGATTCGTCTTTTCAGTTAAATTTCTTCTCTCCTCTTTTCATCATATTAAAAAGAAAGAAAAAAGTGAACAGTGCAACAAATTCAACTAAAAAAGAACAGGATAAATATATGTGTAAAATATAAGTTATATATAGTATATACGTTAAATAGCAGGTCCACACAATTCTAACCTAACCTAATCTAGATAACGTATTCCATAAACGCAAAAAATGACATCATGACATCACATTCGTACATAATGAAACATTTCACGTGCCGTGTTAATTGTTAAAACAAAACATAGTGCGTTAATCATCTGGCGTTATCAAAATAATCGAGTGGAAAAACGAAAGTATTGCCTAAACTCAAACTTAATTCTTCCTAAGATACTCACATGATTAGCACACTTGCAACTGCGGTTTTTGTATAAAACGTCATGCTGCAAGCTGCAATAAAAGCTTAGCTTCGTCAAAAATACGCGAGTATCACTCCATTTAGACCCAGGAATTATAAAATTTCTTGTCACAAATCGGCTCTCAAGTGCAACATTTGAATGCACGATAATTATGAGACACTGTTAAATTTCTTTTTCTTTCCTTTAATCAATAGTCTCTGCCATTCTATATATAAGTAAATCTTCTGGAAGCAGCAGGGTTGGGAAAGTTATTTTATATAAACTGCTTATAAGTTATTTTTTATGTTACCTTATGTGTGTTTGTTATAGAAATTGAGTGTAAAAAGTAATGCAAAATTGGAGTAAATAATAAAATATATAAAAAATAAAATACTTGTTATTTTATACTCAATTTATATAATAATATAATAACCCCGGATCTACAATACATGTTTTAAGCCTTAAGATGTAAGAAATCAATCAATTACGGTCGAATTCAAGGAGAATATTTGACTATGATTCGTCCATTTCTTATGGCTTAAGGCTTAGAATTCTATTGTAGATCCGGGATAAAAAATAACTTACCCAATCCTGTCTAAAAGTAAAAACGACCAAAAGTGATAAATACTTTTACATATATGAAGATATCAGATTCATGCGATAAAGATGAAAATATTAATGCAATTCCATCATTAGATACATTCTTAATTGACAATTAACATTGATCAATTAGGCTGTTGTTCCATTATTCTATTTACTTGCATTTACTAGCAAAATTGGGAATACTTTTTTATTTAATATTTTACCAATTGATTATTTGAGAACGAGACATTTGAAACTGGTGGTTGGTAACTCGATGGCGCCACCATAGCGTCTCCTCAGCGTCGGCGCCTAGCGGTATGAGGTAGAAGCACACCAGAGAAGAGATCGAATCTAGAGATTATCGGAAGCATTGTTCTTCTCGCTTTCCACCCCTCGCCACACTTCTCTTCCACCATTTCCTCGTTGTGAGCTACACGTACGACCTGTGCCTCCCGTTAAACGTGGTGTGGACTCTACGACGACTACAACTGCGTATATTTGCAACCGCTGCACCTTCTTACACTTTCTGCAGCCGAAATATCGGAACATATCAGAGGTGCAAAAGGTGCAAGGGAATAAAGCGCGAAAATAAGATACCGCATCATTCGGCGAGAAAGGACTTTTACCGATTTCGTTGGGATTGCTGTAAGAAAAGCGTACGACTGCCGACCGCGTTGAGCCTCAGATTTATATAGTCAACGATATCGAAGCGTCATTCTGTCGGTAAAAATGCAGGGTTGGTTTAATCGTGATGAGGAAGGTAAGGTGATCGTAGAGAATGGGTATGTCACGATCACCTGCGAAGGTAATGGTAAATAGACCACAATTATATTATCTCACATATATATATATATGATATATTCTATTGTATGCAATGTTCACATTACAATACTTTTAGCATGTAATATCTGTTAGCAATAAGTCAATACAAAAGTATTAACATAAGTCTACACAGAATATTAATAACACTGATATGTTGATAGATGAAAATTTGGTTTTTCAACTGCATGTATCAGAGATCGACGAGAAAGCAGAACAAATGTGCTTCAATGTCAATGGTAAAGATATATATATTGATGTTGTTCCATTTGAAACAAATGACAATGATTTCGAGGGTGATAAAACCATGACTGGATCAGAATGCAAGGAATCAAAGGAAGAAAAGTTTAATACACCAACAACAAGTAAAAATGGAAACGCGATTTTTCCTTGGTGCGATGCCTCAACAAAGATCTTCCTGAAAGAGTACAAACTAAAGAAGGAATTAGTAAAGCATCGAAAGCTTAAAAATATGAAAAGGGCATATCAGGAAATAGCCAATAATTTGGTAGAGAATGGTTTCAGTGTATCTCCCTTGCAAGTGGAGAATAGATATAAAACGCTCAAACGTGCGTACAAGAACATGATAACGCACAACAGGAGGAGTGGAAGAGGAAAATATATCTGTAGTTACGAAGAGTAAGTTTATTTTTCTAAAGAATTTATACAAGTTGATTTAATTATCAAATTACTTGTTAAATTTTTTCTTTATGTGGCTTAGGAACTATTCGGCCCATCTATAGCTTTGTATTTGAATCTTTTTTTTGTTTAATACACATTCAAGAGGGTTTACAAATACTCCTAAATATTTCACAATCTGACACATTTTATAAACTCAAAATCTTTTTAAGTTCTTTGATCCACAACAATCTTAAGTCTTCTAACTTTTAATCAAACAGATGGAGCAATAAGCTTCTTTTAACTAAATTTTCTATGTATGTGAGACATGGAATCAAATCTGGATCCATAAATTGCTAATTTGTGAACTGAATGTGGAATTGTCCAATATCTTATATGTTATTTATTTAATATATATATTTAATATTTATTTAATATTTATAGTGATCTGGTTGAGATATTTTCCAATGATATATATGATACAAAGATAAATGATGAAGATGATTCAAAGGATGCAAAGGAAATGTAAGTTATAACTCACACTTCAAAATTATAAAATTATTTATTAAGTCTTCCTAAATTAATTTATAAATATTGTTTTAAGACTTACACCTATTGCCACAAAAAATTGCTCGTCTACTGAGAATTTTCATTTGAAGACTCTTCAGCATAACACCAGATTGGAGGCTCAGAATGTGAAGATAATTGAGAATCTACAAAGCTGTCAACGTTTATTGAAGAATTTAATTACTTCTTTGGATAGTAAAAATAAAAATTCCAGTTATATGCCAAGTGGAGTTTTGCAGATCTGTATGGAGATACGAGATTTACAGAAGGAGGCAACTACACGCGCAGAAGAACAAAGGGAGAAAGCTAAGGAACAGAGAGAAACGAGGAATAACTTGTTGCAAGAAATTGTAACGATTCTCAAATCTAGAAAGGACACGTAATACAATCAATATCAGACAAGTGTTTGAACACATCCTCAATAGTTACAGAATAATAGAATTTATTTATTCTTTTAAATGCAAAGAGATAACTTTCTTGTTATGTATTTTTATAATTTCACCATATGTCTAAACACATTGTCTGCCTAGTAAAGTTGTTCTGTGTACGTCATAATAAAATCTTCGTTATGATAGAATTTTTAAGAACAATGATTATTATACACTTAAACATTGTACATTTAATCATATTGAGTGTATTATAGAATTAGTGCGAATATTTTTATTATAGTTAAATTATGTAAATTTTATATGAGATGGCTTTTATTTTTTTATATGAATTTTAAATTCTACTAGTCATCATGACTAATATGACAAAATTTTGGAACACCATTGATAAGTCAAACGTCACAGAGAACAGATTACTACAACGGCAGTCAAAGTGTTCGTTTATCTAGTGAAACGATTATAAAAAAAGAGACAAAAGTAATTGTATACATATTGATAAAAAAGTATCAAGTAAGATTTTCATCTTTAAACCTAAGTTATACATGAGGATTGGGATTTAAAAGCTTATTCTGTAACTCTTAACAACTGTAACATTACAGTAGTTGAGAATTACAGAATAGGCCTCTTATGCCTAAATTCTAAGTAGAATTGTAAGGCTTGTGACATTCTCATAGGACTCATAAGAACTTTTAAGTGTTTTATACAATATCTTTACAGACAACCATAAAATTTATAAAAAGTCATAGTTATTAAATTATATTAAAATACTTGTCATAAATTCTTACAAGTTTTATGAGAACAAGTTACGAGTCTTATAATACTGCTTAGAATTAACCAAGAAATCAATTGCTTTTTTGTGTGTCACCACTAATTTAAGTTACTTTACTGTAAAAATAAAATTAGATTAAGATAATGCCGGTTAGAAGATACAAAATGTAATTATAAATTAAGGTTGTATTTGAAAAGATAAAACTTTTATGACACAAATCTAAATTACATCTTATAACCTTGTGTATGAGTAACATTAAAAATATATTAAGATTTCTTACATTATTAAAGTATTCTATAATATACTTTGAACTTTTTTAACTGTTATCTGTATAGAGCAAATAATATACTTGTAATAGAAAACCAAAATGTTAAGATGATACATAAATATTCCTATAATTAATTTTTTATTCTTACTGATAAAAATCTATTTCTCCCTCTCTCTGATTCCAACATTGTTTGATCTAATGTCATGTTACGGCGACGGGCAACTCGATGATTTTGAAACGTCGTCTATACCCACAGAAATATCGTGTGCAATAAGAGAGTAGACTGACTGGAGTATGGACTAAAGAGAGAAAGAGAGACAAAATTTGAGACAAAAAATTGCATCAAATTTAAGAATCTGACGCAATCCCGCGTCGCTCACATGTCTCGCGCGCGTAACCGTGTGCTAACATATTTCTCTATTTATTGACGTATTTATTAATTTATTTGGTGTCACTAATTGGTGACAATGATCATTTTCACGAATGAGGGTAACCCAAACGCGCTGAAGCTGGTTGTTGCAGCTAAATTGGCACAGGAAACCATGTCAGTTAGGATTCTGAAACCTAGTGGTAAGTCCATTAACCTCTTCTTGTTTGCTCCCATGTCTTGGTTCATATACATTTTTAACGAAATATTTATGAGATTAGATATATACACAACCTCGTCTTGCGGAACATTATCAGGTTTTAGTAGTCAAATCGATTAGCTTGGTGTCAATTTCCTAATTCATTAAAACACTTAGTGTTTATATCTTCAACAATTTTCTCTATTTCCTGATTTGACCCATTTAACTTCACAAGGCTCAGTTAATACATGTGATTATATATTATATGTAGATGCTACCCTGGGCCGTTTGCCGATACTGACTATACCCACAGGATTATCTCTATTCAGTGTCTCGTCAGCGCTACGTTTCCTGTTATCTGTACCTAAAGATTTGGAGGTTCTCAATGACAGATGGTTGGAATGGGAAATTTCTCAATTACAGGTATCATTTTAATTCAGCATTGAATCTATATATAACTATGACTTAATCTTTTGTTTCTAATAGTTTTTTGGCTCATATTCATAATCAAACCTTAATTGAAGGCTTCCTTAAATTTACCTTTAAATACTCAGTAGCCAATAAAATAATTCGTAGAACATTTGAAAATAATCTTAAGAAAGCCTAAATATGAATATGGGCAAATTTGTTTTTTTCTTTAATGTTATATCATTGAGGATGCTTTTTAACACAATAAATCATTCCATCTTTATTTAATATTAGCAAACAGCAGATATATAATAATTCGCTATGTGGCATTTGTATCTCTAGCTGGAAAGTACTCTGAATTGATTAGAAAGATATTGATTCTAGAAATGAGCAAGCTTTTTAATTTATTAATTGATCAATCAATGATTTAAAAAACTCTCCCAATATGTAAGACTGCTTGCATTCAGCAGATAAAGATGCTCAATGAATGTTCAGTCATTTTTATTACAATTCTAAAGACAAGAACTAATTATATTAAGGAATTACTGAGTGTTCACTAAGCAACTTTGTTAAATGGAGTTAAAGATTCTTGATATTAAAGCTATCATTCTTTGCAGCCAGCTATATTAAGTCACACGAGCACAAAGACTTCTAAAACTCTACAGAAATCTGACTTATGGTCTTTACTAAAAGATCTCAATAGTGAACTGAAAGACAAACAGTACTTAATTGAGGTAAATAATGAAAATATTTTATTACTCAAATGTCTTATCTATAGGTATGTTCTTTATTGCTGAACTTTTGCACTAGTTCATCTTTCTTTCTTTTCTCTCCAGGAGAAGGGAAAAGGAAAAAAGATGAACTGGTGCAAAAGTTCAGCAATAAAGAACAGACCTTATTACTTATATCATTTTTTTTTTTTTAGAAATGTAATAATTTATCACCAGCAGATATTTCTATTTCGGTAAGTCTCTGGAGCACCATATTGGTTACAGATATCGGAAATGATATTGCCAAGGACTTACCAAGTATTGATAGCTGGTTAGCTAATATTCAGAAGCAGCCAGTTATCCAACAATCAATTAAGGTAAAGTCGCGTTTTAATATCTTTTCTTTTATAAACATTGATTTGACATATATGTAGTTATTTTGAATATGCAGGAATCCATTGAAATGTTCAAATTAGAGAGAGGTCTGAAGGCTATTGCAAGCATTGAAGCTACTTCTTGGTTCCCTGGCAATGCAGCCTCAAATCCTCAAATTCATGAATCAGTACCTAGTGACGTAAGTATTTTATTAAATAGGGCGAGTTTTTTAATTCATCGATTGATCAATCGCATGATGCTCAAGTGCAACATGTTACATCTGCGCATCATGCAACTGATCAATTGATGAATTAAAAAACACGCCTATACTTTTAATGGACTTTCCATGAATAACAGTAGTTTTTCTCACTTATATGTAAACCTAAATTATGTGTTTTAGATTAGCCCAACTAAGGAAAGAGAGGTGGAGATTGTTAATCAAGAAGAACTTAATAATGTGGCAAAAAGTTGGACCGAACAATATCCGGAAGTTAAGGAAAGTTCATATCCTATGTAAGTTGGATGAATCTAACAAGTTCATATAGTTTATAGAAATTTATTAAACTAGTTATATATATATATTTTTTTTTCTTTTAGACTGCCTAAAAAAGGTGAAAGAAATATGTTGATAACATCAGCTCTTCCTTATGTTAATAATGTTCCACATCTAGGAAATATTATTGGTTGCGTTCTTTCAGCCGATATCTTTGCAAGGTTTATACGCTTAATACTAAGTACAATAACTTTTAACTTAACAATACGATAACGAGATTTTTTAACTTGCGTAGGTATTGCAGACAAAGAAATTACAATACTCTTTATATATGGTAATTATCTTTTTTTTTAATAACATACAAGAAAATTCATGTTCCAATTTAAATTAAATTTTTTAAATATAATTTTAAAACTTAATTTTAAGTGGAACAGATGAATATGGCACCGCAACTGAAGCAAAAGCTCTGCAAGAAAAAACGACCCCTCAGGCTATTTGTGATAAATTCTTTGACATACACAACGATGTTTACCGCTGGTTCGGCATCGGATTCGACTATTTCGGCCGCACTACTACACCCGAACAGACTGAGTAAGACCTGTTGCAATCCATCCTATTTTTATTGTTCTTTTATTTCTTTACCTTATTTACATTAATTATATTCATTGTCATTATCGTTTTTTTCAGAATCGTTCAAGCATTTTTCCTAAAAATTAAATCGCAAGACTACGTGTTGACCGAGACTGTAGAACAACTCCATTGCGAATCTTGTGATCGGTTTCTCGCCGATAGATTTGTGGAAGGTACGTGTCCCGAATGTAAGTACGAAGACGCGCGCGGCGACCAGTGCGATGGTTGCGGTCATCTCGTCAACGCAGTTGAATTAATAAACCCTCGATGTAAGATCTGTAACACTAGACCTGTCGTGAAAAACTCAGTACAGTTCTTCCTGGATTTACCCAAGGTGAAATTTATATCGTGATACTCTGTCGATGTTTCCAGCGAAATATGGAATTATACGAAAATGTAACTCTTTGTGTTGCAGCTAGAAGAGAAACTGAAGGAATATTCCACTGCACGTGATAAAGGATGGTCTAACATTGCAAGAGTAGTTTCAAGAGCATGGTTACGCGATGGTCTTCAGCCTCGTTGTATAACCAGGGATTTGAAGTGGGGAATACCAGTCCCAGTAGAGGGTTTCGAAAATAAAGTGTTTTACGTCTGGTTTGACGCTCCTTTCGGATATATCAGTATTACAAAGAGGTATACCAAAGAATATAAGCAATGGTGGCAACCTCCTCAGGATACAAAAATCGATTTGTACCAATTTATGGCAAAGGATAACATTCCGTTTCACACAATAATGTTTCCCGCTTGTTTATTAGCGGCTAATCAAAATTATACGTTGATGAAATGTACAATGGCAACTGGTACGATATTTACAAAGAATGCACATTTTGCAAACGCAATTTTTTTATTTTATAATTCTATATCTACGTATCTTTATTTTAATCTTTTTT